GTTCATTTAGCACAGACAGCATCTTCCCCACCTTTTCTCGCGGACTTGCTTTGAGTTTCTATACGGGGACAAGGAAGCGGTACAAAAAGAGGAGGTAGGCATAATTTATTTCAGTGTTGCAGTGTACAAATCCTCTGTGCACATAAGGAGGCAAACGGGGTCCGTGAAACATTGATTTTCTCTTGGAAAAACTCAGTGAGTAACATGTGTCAATTGCATCGGATAAGTTTATTTCGCTAAACATGGAACATCTCCTGAAAATGTGAGTGGTGCAGGACGTTATTTAGGCGACTGTCGCTTAAAATAAAAACGAGGCTACCCTATTCAGAACAAACGTTACTCCTATAGGTCGAGATATGTTCTATTGCCAGTTTCGGGTTGGTCTGGATATTGAAGCTTTTATTGTTGCCTATGTAACTGCGCATTCAGGGTCGACAATTGATAAAGGTCTAACGAAATGTTCGAAACTGCTTGCGTACATACTCGTCTCTAAAATCCATGCAGCGCTTAATACGCCAACGTCTCGAACAGATACAAGCAAAAACGATGTATTTTTACTAAATATTACTTAAAATATTTATTCTCATGTAAATTTTTTGAGAGTCAAATAAGTTTACGTTCTATCTTTTCAATGGCTTTGATCAATATCCTCACTTAACGAATGTAAAAGTTTACAACTTCCTAAGATCTGATTTAGGCAACTCCTCAGTCAAATCTAAATGCGTCTTTTGATCGGAATTCACAGAGATGTAAAGCCCTTTTATTATCCGTATAGTACTTCGTACTGGTATAGGCTTATTCAGAACTTGTAGCGCCTGCTGAATTTTTTGAAAAGCAAAAATAGGATAATGAGACTGAGTAGATGTGTAACGTAATGGTATAAAAAGGAGCAGGCCAACATTCAACCCCGCCAAATGTATGTGAATTAAACTCGTACTTTTGATGACGAAGATCAGCATCGGTCTGGTAACAAAACAAGTTATAAACATTTAATATACTGCGATATAATTTTTGAAGCTCGTCCACAAATCACAAATGCTCATGCAGTATAAAGTAGACAAACTGACGTATACCCGGGATCCAGGGCTGTAAAATTTTATTCTTTCTGCCATCCTAATCGAAGTAATCCAAGATCAAATATGCTTTTCTTATATCGCATAGCCAATAGCCTGCTTGTCCACCTTCAACTTGCAGTCCTTATATTGTGTGAGAGAATGGAAAGATTATGCTTAAAATTTTTCATTCACGTTTTTATTTGCGAACAAAAATCTAAATCGTAGTAGTTTTAGCTTTGCTCACAACACAATTATTCAGTCTTATGAACAGCTTGTTAGTGCAAAGAAGTTGCCCAGCACATTGTATCAGGTCAATCGTGATGTCTTTTTCCAAGCTTATTAGTCCTGTTAGACTTTTAAGCAGCCGAGTAGGATACTGTCTATTATTCTGTCAAAATAACTTTAGAAACATCCTAATTAACATACACAGACTATATGAACTCTCTTTTATATAATGCATTAGTAATATCACTCCTATCCCCAAAAAATTAAAATACGAAACTGACTGAAAAGCACGTACGTCAGACTTATCCTTTCCAATCCAGAAGTGGATGCTGTAGTGAATTTTGGCATTCTTCATGAACGTTTTTAAAACGACGAAGACTTCATCACTGAAGAAGAAGCCTACATCGTTGTCGGGGATTCGCACGGGCTTGCCATCGTCCTAAAACAGTGAATATAACATAATCGTGTTTCAAAATAAGTCAACGTTGTAAGCAAAATACGTTATTGAAAAATACGATATCTCACTATATATGCACTGAGGTTTGCTTGACTATTTCACCGTATTAGGGGCTTCTTTGATTAAGACATATGTACAGACGTATGTTTGTATCACCCTATTCTATGATTACTTCTGACGAGGGGTTCTCCACAGAATCCGAAACGTCAGGCATTTTTCCGAGCCTCCTCTTTCCCCTTCCCCGCTCTCCATAATTGCCGCTAAATAAGCTGCTTGTTACTACCCCAACCCCCTCCCTATCCCCTGGAGAAATTCGCCTGTAACGTTGAACATTATTCACCTACAATTTTACCTTTTACACTTTGCCCCCCATCCATATAAATGTAATGGCCTGATGAGAATTTATTGAAAGTATACGTATGCTCGCCAATTGCTCTTGGGATTTTTGTAATGGGAGTTTTTGAAACTTTAAAATAACTTCTTCTTTCAGCAATCCCTTCTTCTACTTCTGAACTGCTACACGAAGTTTTAAATTTGAGATTTTCAAGTGTCCTATTAAATGCTATGGCCTCGAATGTTGTTCAATGAAGATAAGAAATTGAGAGAAGATTTAAACACGAACATGGAAGAAATAATCAAACTGCTACCCTATCTACCACACAGTTTCACTGGGAGTCACTGAAAACTTGGCTCCTGTTTCGAAAACAATGCCAACATATATTTCTGTTTGTCATATTTCACACGCCTTTCTGGCCCTGTTCTCAACTAGAAGCTACCACCTTCTCTGATTAAACTGTCCTGCTTTAGATATGGATATTAACAGTTTATCTGCCGTTCGTTATTTTACGCAATTATTTATCACAATGGCAGCCCGGATACTAACTAAAAACCCGGACGCGTGTTCTGCCGCTATTCTGCCGCTACATGATACAGCTAGTAGGGATTCGGATAATTAGTGGGTCCTAAGCATTTTTGTATGTGCATGTGTTTTGGTATGCATGGTTTTTTAGATGCGACTTGCTATTCAACTTTTTAAACGCTGTTTATACTCAGCCAACTGGCTTTATTCACGTAATCCTTAATTTTCAATAATTCACTTGGCTTTTCGAGTTATTATTTCCCAGTTGGTCCGTGGCCGGTTATACTGAGTACCAAAGGATGGTCAGAGGTTGGGGGGGGGCTTTGGGAAAATAATGCAGAAATTGTGCTATTTATTCACCTTCAGATACCACACTCTCAATGTCTCCTCTTTTATATCCAGGATGGTGTTCCATTCAGAATTCGTTGTTCCTCGTTCCTCTAAAAAGAATGAGCAAGACTTGAGAAAGCTGTTTTCATTCCATTGCGGATATTTGGTAATGATGTATTTTACGCCATACAGGTAAACAAGCGCGAAAGAGCGCCAACTAATTGTAAATTATCCAACTTATTTTCCTGCGCATCATAAAATAGGGTTTTTCTTGTATCTAGTGCCAATATATTACCTCTTACGCAAACACTTAAGACTGAGGACGGCACCGCGCAAAGGGCATTGCAAGTTTGCTAGGTGCACAGCCAGTATTCCTTATGGGCTTCCTGCATCTGTTTGATGGCTACCGTCTACTTTTATAACTGCGCTATTCACTTACCTTTTGTGACTTCTCTTAATTGTGACTCTCAGTAGCACATGCGCTTGTTAATTGGCGTTTTGTTATATGCGTGAATACAAGATTTGGCACGCATTCTCCGCTTCATATTCACAAACGTGGTGTAATGCTCCTTTATAAAAGACTCGGAGCATGTTGTTATTTTGCTTTAATCCTTTTTCGGCCCAACTCATCACCATAACTGCATTAACATTTTTCCTTTAGGACTTTTACTTGTTTGGACATGTTAAAAACGGAATAGGCAGTTTTCATCTTCACCGAAATACGTGAAAATAATGCGATCTACAAAAAATCTAAAAATGGTGCTCTACACACAACGAATTTGATCTGCGTCCGGTACCTTTCCTTCCGCATGACAGTATAGTATTTTCGCGTTGTACATCAGTTGCCAAAAACGTGAAGGAGAAAAAGAAGAAGAAAAAGAAATAAAGAAACAGTAGCGACCACTAGAACAGAAACGAGTAATTGAAGTCCAAGTGGTAAACACTTTAAGGACGCAGCTGCCATGGAACCACACATATACTGTGATCGCTAGTCCAACGATCACATCCGCCTCCTTAAATTCGTTTCCAATTCTTAGTGGCAGATACCTTTAACCCCCAGTCCACGTCGGTGACGCGAATCGTCTCAGCTTGAGAGGTGTCGCGTAGAGTGCCTTGTTATATAAAACAAAAAGAAACTATGCCTTGCTGTGTAGAATTTTATGAAGACATTTGAACTCTCATATCTGAAGTAACTGTGTTGAAATCTCCTAGGACTGGAATCAATTACTGCCTTCAGTTCATGAAATGGAATGGGCATTACCCTCGATGGTAAGTACTTGGGATAGGGTAGAGATTTAAGTGTGATCCATATCTACTGATATAAAGCATCGTTACGCTAAGGCACACACAAAGTTTTACGTGGTCATTTTGCTGAGATTAATCAAATTGAACCTTGATGTATGCGCAATCTCTAGGAAGAAACGAATGAAGCTTGTGCCAAGGGCATTAAGCTCACACAAAATTTGAACCTTGGCACCGTAGTAAGTGCCAAGAACAATGTGGGAAAAAACCAAGAGGCCCATAAGGAGCCGACAATAAAATAGATGCGTCATACAGAATCAGAGAAGCACCGAGCTCTGCGATTAGTCGCTTTTTTCCCTAGCATGTGTACCGTCTAAGGTCGATATTCAACTTTAATTGTGTTGTACAGCTTTCATTATCACTGCAAATGTTTGGCCTGACGAAGAGTTGCTAATAAAATGTGTTTGCCAGAAACTAATTTTTAAAATTAACCATGGAAATATTTACAGAATTTAACTCAGCATCATGACAGTTAGCCGAAATAAAAATATTTGCCCCCCCCCAGATCTTAATGTTACTTCCATCTTCGATTTCTAAGTAAATGACAACTTTTCTTTTACTCTTGCTTGACTACACAAACCTCTATAGTCTTCCTTTGTGATTCTGGGATCTACACATGTCATTCCTCATGAAACCTTCATCCACATTTTGAAAAATGTGTTTTAGATTAAAACATATTACTTGGGTTTCGTTGAATTATTATTTTCCGTGTAGCATAATCGCCAGATATTGCAGTTATGGCACCAGATAATGAAAGAGGCACTTTCCGGGCAATTGTGAAAACTGCAAATTGTGAAAGCATAAACAGTTAAGTGATATAATTTTCCCGTCAATTTTCCATAAGTTTATAAATTCAAGTGCATTTAATATAAACTATAAATAAAAACTACATTCAGAAGAAGAAATACTGTTCGCTGATGGGGGGTTATTGGATGCTAATCATTTACATCATCAATAATTGGACTCATTTGGTGGCTTTTTACCCCTTCAAATTTTCGATTCTAAGAAACAATATCCACCAGCGTCATTACTGTTTTGAATTCCCGAATACTTGTTTACCCAAACTACTGTTACACCTACTTTCCAGGTTTTTCGGGTACACGTAGTTCATATTTCAGACACGGTAAATGAGATATTAGTCTGTGCTGTACATGTCCCATGAAGTAAGCATGGATATGGCTAATTTGTATACTTTATACTTCATATGTAGCCTTAAAAATGACAAGATAGAATGTTCAATTAATGAGCACGTCATGTTCCTCAAAAATCTCATAAGGATCCTTTTTTACAAATAAATGATACCATGTCTTAAAGTATAAAATTAGATGAAAATGTGACTTCCTACCGTAAAAGTAAAACACATGTTGCCTGTATTTTGTTAGAGTGTTTTTAAATTTAAGTGGCATCAAATGCTTACGGGGAAAGGTCATACTACTTAACGACTCCCATTTTAGCAACGTGTTTTTACCGCTGGCGACTAATTTAAAAGCTGGCCCCGAGACGTGAGTGCGGAAATCTTGGCCTTATGCCGCGTAATGGTAGGTATAAAAGCCTAACTTACGTACTCCTTTCGAATCAGAAACATATTTAATAAGCTCAGATTACGTTTCATGAGAGATTATCTCTACTGGAAAGGCATTCCTGACTCGATCTTAATACAAAACAACTTGTTCCGAACATTCGCTCCTACGAATGACATTCCACGATAATGATCACAACTGCCGGTCAGCAAAGCTATCCGGTTTAAAATGTACTACGGTCTTACACAGAGTTACTCGTCAGCCTCTCCCAAAGCCACTTAGGAAAGTGTTATTTTACCCTGCCAAATTAAGCGTCTTGCAAGGAAATCGCAACAAAAGAAGAACTGAACTCACTGTGTTCATTAGCCTCGGCAGGACGCGGTTTACTTGAGAATAAACTCATGCTCTGAGTGTCGCTGTTTGCGCTCGGCGCCCGCTGGTCTCTGCTTGTGTAATACCGTAGTCAATCTGTGTGGACTGATATATTTAATCGAACTTCCGTGTGGGTGGTCGTACTCCTAAGCTCACGTTTTTGTGTTGGCATGTCCCCACGAACCAGCCAGGAGTGCGCGTCATCATAGAGACGGTGCACACCTAGCGCACACCAAGAAAGCCTGCAGAAGTGCGATTGTGGCGTTTTGTAGGAAAATCTCCACCTAGTAACGCCTATCGAGTTCTTAAAATGTCGCCTGATTGTGAATACCAAGCGTTTGTGCCGAGACTAGAGATTTGTGAACGGCCCGTTAATACCGAGTCTGGGCCAAAGAAGTGAACACACACTGAAAGCGCTGTCAACTGCTTTCCGCATCCTTGTGACTCCGACTCAGTGGCTATACGTGCTGTTCCGGTTTTGGCTTCCCCGATTTTTCTTCAAAACAAGTCGTTTTCACACCTTTACATTTCGCATTGGGAACTGTTTTGGCAAATCACGGGGACGTGCTACGTGCACTCCCTAACTAAGCACAGGCCCCCGGTCTGGGCCCTTCCAATTTCGTCTGCAGGTTCGGAATGACCCCCCAGGTAATACCCGTGCCCATCGTATCATATAACCGGCCTGTTTTATTTTTCAGTTGGTGCCAATAAGTTTGTGCGGTTATTTGGGTTATTTGATCTAATAGGGCAAGTATGTTAGCTTGTTTCAAGTTTTGCCTCAGGTCGCCTACTAGACCAATTTCCGGCTAAACAAGTTTGCATTTCTCTGCGTCCCTTCTCCAGCAAAATTCCTGTCCGACCTACATATGATTGTTTCCCTCTTACAACATCTGACGCTCTCCCTCTGAGCCGAATGTCCGGGTTTCCTTGCTTCCTCTAATGCTGCCACACCCTTCCCATGTTGACCCTTTCCACTCCTTTTCACACGCGCGCCAGTGCTCCGAGTGGCACTTGAATATGTCCCCTCGCTCTTTGTCGGAGAGCGGACTAGAGGCAGCAGCTGTTGAGCTTGACTACTACTGCTTCAGGGGACAGTTGTTTTGACTTCCGGCGATTAATACCCATGAAGTGGCTTTGTGATGGAGAACCACTTGTCAGTTCTCTCCCCCTCTTGACCCAATTAGCCGCGGCTTTTCCGAGTACCACACCCACCTTGCCGGCGAAGTATTGCCTCTGT